TGGAGTTGAAGCGAATCTGGCAATTCTACTGGTTTACTAGCCTTTGGTTTAAAATGCATATAACAGCACTTTGGTTTAAAATGCATATAACAAGCGGACTGATAGATCTTTGAAGAACCGCTCCGTGGGACACCACTTTGTTGCTTTCTGTTCTCTCAGCAGCCACATTGAGGCAGACATTAAAAAGTGGGGGACCCTGAATGTCTCCTTGGCCACTGCCTGAACTTACTTCAAACCATTCTCATAGTTCACCATTGTGTCTAACAGCACTGACAGTTCCATTAAAGAATGCCTGTATTATTCGAATGTATTTACATGGCAGGCCATAATGACTGAAAGCTTTCCAAATATAATTCCTGTCGATAGAATCAAAAGCTGCCTTGAAGTCCACAAAATTTACATACAGGGGGAGATTATATTCAATGCAGTTATGTATAATAGTGCGGAGTGAATAAATCTGATCAATGCATGATCTTTTCTTTCTAAACCCACACTGATTGTCTCGTAGCAAACTTTCTAAACCGTCACTCATGCGTTGTAATATGATGATTTGATACAGTTTAGATGCTGTAGATCTTAGAGTGATCCCCCTATTATAGGAGCAATAAGAGGTATCACCCTTCTTTGGTACAATTATCACGATGCCTTTCAACCAGTCGTCAGGCACTGCTTCTGAATTCCAAACTTTTGAGAACAATTTCTCCATCCTATCCACAAGACCACTTGCCCCATACTTTAACTGCTCATTAGAGATTGCGTCAATCCCAGCACTTTTGTGGTTCTTCAATTTTTTGAGACAGTTTAAAATCTCAAGTCTAGTGAGACAGTTCCTTAATCCCAAATATTCGTTAATGTTAGCAAATATTTGGGAAAAGGGTATTCGTCTTCTGAGCTCGAGATCTTTCCTTCACGAGCCCGATAATAATTAAGCTGAGAACTATATTGGCGAGAGAGACTGGTGCCACTCGATAAGCCGGTTAAAGCGTATAATAGCATCTATGACATTCAAGTACATTTTAACCCATTAGGGACGATAGGGTCGTTTACGACCCACCTTTTCTAGAGGCTATAGAGGACAAACCATAATACTAAACGCCACGAATCTTTCACACATATGCTCAAAATGTATTGGGCTACACTATTGACTTTCCAGTCGAGACCCAATTAATTACTAACAACTAAATAATTAGGTTAATTAGTCGTCATAATTGAAAAATATTTCACTTTACTTCTTGCCTTGATTGGGACATTAAAACTTTATGTAGGCTTATTTTGTTAAGGACAAAATAGTTGCGGGCAACGATTTTCTTGAGACATGTGAAAAGCCCGTGATAATCAGATGTTCACAAACAGAGCTAAACGCTGTTTACTAACTGCGGTCGCATACGACCCACTCGTCCGGGTCGCAAACGACCCATCAAGGTTTTTCGGCTTTAACTTCTGAAACAAAGACGTTAGGATAAAATAGAAACTGTAGCATAAGTTAAAAACATATGGTCAATACTGTGTGACTCTAACTTTTTAAAAATAAAGAATTTGGGTCATTAACGACCCACTCGGCTCACTTGCTTATTACTACATATGTCCATGTAACCTCTTGAATTCAGCCTAAAGCATGACATCATAAGTTCAAAATCGCCTCTCAGCAAGTGATAATCATCATAAACTGCGAAAAATCGGTTAAATGGGTCATTAGCGACCCACTAAGACCACAAAATCGATTAATTAAATATAATGTTGTCAAACTTTTACAAATATTAGTATAAAAACATGTTATATCTTGGTCATTACTCCTGTACGTTGATTTAACTTTTAAAATCGATCAACTGGGTCAATAACGACCCACTCGGAAGTTGAACCACTTCATCAATTATGATCAGTATCATGCTGTTCCACCATCAAGAAAGACACTCGTAGGTCTTAATTCCACGCAAACCACGGGTGGCTGACTACTAGCCCTTCTGAGATCCAGGGCCAACTGAAGGGCCGTCATCACTCATCAAAGAGCTGCGAGAATAACACTACTGCATATGCCTGGAGTTGCGTCCTGACTAATACTATGGTGCGTGGAAATCTGTACCGAAAGGACCGTGGCCGGGCCGGGCCGCAAAAGAAAAGGAATCGGCCCTCGTTCCTAACTTGCTAGGTAATAGCCATACTGTTGTTGTTGCTTATTAGATTCTGTTACCTTTTTCGTCAATTTCGAATCTTGGTAAACGACCTGCTACAACCCACCGCTTGAGACCCAGGGTCCCACGGTGATCTTCTTCTTCTTCGTAGGGGGCAGTGGTCTTTACTACTAAGGAATAGATCAAAACCACTATAAGATAGAGCATTGAAGCCCTGTGCTTACCCCGGTAAAGTTAATCTGTGAAGAAAGCAAGGTTAAGCCTTGTCCTCTCCACATTTGGTAAAAAGTTTTGTTGCTTGTATGAAGCCGATGATCCTTGGTAATGAGAACTTGTCCACTATATCTGTCACACTGAGGTAGAAGGCTTGTACTTATTGATGTGGTAGTTTAGTTCACTATGTCCCGTGAGGAATTGTGTTGCTGTTCTTGTGCTCTCTTTGCCAAGTTTCGGGATTGATCTGGCGAACTTTTGTCTCCATTTGTCTCCCACGGTGATCAGATCATGTCACTCAAGAAAAATCCCCTGAACGAAGTATACGAGATATCAGCTGTAACCTTGGGTAAATACTGAAAGACGAGTGGTCAAATTGCATATTCTAATCCAACATGCCAATCAGTTTTTTTTTTCATTCCTAGAAAGTACGAGAATAACTAAACAACTGCTGCATTCAGATGGCTACAGCTCTGTGAATAAGGACAAGGAAAAAAATTAAAGCCCCCCCCCCTCCCCCCCGCCCCCCCCCCCCCCCCCCCCCCATTTGGCTGGCGGTGCTGCAACCTGCAATCTCTCAGACAACTACCTTGTTGTGGGTAACAAACCCCGCAACAACGAGGCAGCTTTCAAAACGAAAAAAAGTATTACGTAATCGGCCGAGAGGGAGGGGAGTTTCCGAATGATTACGCTTGTGTAATTTTGACATAATAGCTATGTGGTGGGGGGGGGGGGGGGGGGCGTAAAAATTGTCCAATAAGTGATTACGTAATATATGAACGGCCCCTAAGAAGTAAAGAAAGGGAGCTGCGAAGAGAGTAGATGCAGCCATCTGAAATCTGAATCCAGCAGTTGTATAGTTCTTCTTGGACATTCTAGGAATCGGGAAAAGATAGGCATATTGTTTGCTGTCTCACGACATTACGGTCGTGTACTAACAGCTGATAAACTCACCTACCTATCAATCCAATTCTGCCCATTATTCGTCAGTCATTGGGTGACGTGATATGCAGATTACCGTGAGACTCCAGATCTCAGGAGGGCTAGTAGTCAGCCACCCGTGGTTTGCGTGGAATTAAGACCTACGAGTGTCTTTGACTCTTTCTTGATGGTGGAACAGCATGATACTGATAATTAATGTCGTGGTTCAACTTCCGAGTGGGTCGTTAGTGACCCAGTTGATCGATTTTAGAATTTAAATCAACGTACAGGAGTAATGACCAAGATATAACATGTTTTTATACTATTACTAATAATTGTAAAAGTTTGACAACATTATATTTAATTAATCGATTTTGTGGTCTTAGTGGGTCGCTAATGACCCATTTAACCGATTTTTCGCAGTTTATGATGATTATCACTTGCTGAGAGGCGATTTTGAACTGATGATGTCACGCTTTAGGCTGAATTCAAGAAGTTACATGAACATATGTAGTAATAAGCAAGTGAGCCGAGTGGGTCGTTAATGACCCAAATTCTTTATTTTTAAAACGTTAGAGTCACACAGTATTGACCAAATGTTTTTAACTTATGCTACAGTTTTTATTTTATCCTAACGTCTTTGTTTCAGAAGTTAAAGCCGAAAAACCGTGATGGGTCGTTTGCGACCCGGACGAGTGGGTCGTATGCGACCATAGCTGTATCTTTTAAAGTAAACGAGATACAAATTAGCTTTTTTGGATATCTTATTTTTGCTGTAAAGTGACCTAGTGTGTTAAACGGCATCAAAATCGGCAAACTTTAAAACTCGTCGTCCCTAATGGGTTAAAGCAATTTGCCCTTGAGTATGATAATTATAACCAGTTTAATCTTGTTCAGCGTACTCGAAAACATAGCCCTATATTATTAAAACTTTGTAACCCTGGTTACAAGGTTTTCGCTTCGATTTTCATCCATAAAAAATCCTTATATTTTCAATTCTCTGCCGGCCAGCTGTGTTTAATAGTAAATTAGATGTCCCTTACACGCACCTAGCGTACACACCTTACACAAGTTACATAGCACCCTATTGGCTCTGCACAGTCACGTGTGCAGTGACGTGGGCTAATCAGGGAGACGCACTCTAAACGTGATCTCTCCTGCGATAACCATAACAAATTTCCTTCATTACGTCCATTGGACGCGCACAGTCACGTGCGGGCAGTCACGTGCAGCGTGACTGCCAATCAGATTTTGTTATTATTTTGAGTTGTCCGACTATTTTGAATCTATTTTGATTTGAACAGAGGTCCTTATTTTACTTCCTACTTGTGGGGCCAATTAGTCCCTAGTATAGCGGGATGCGTACATGGTGAAATTAACAATGTACTTGAACATTTCAGCACCGCGCGTCAACAATTGTTTAATTCAGATTATCGCGCAAAATAACTTTGCGCAGGCTCGACACGTACGCACGCTGACATCTGAAAATGTCCTACAGATATTTTCAAAATTTTCCTTTCATCAAAGTTTTTCTCCAGATAAACAGCTTCCAGTAGCTTGATTGATGGCAGAAAAGCTTCTCTTCAAAAATGTGTTATTCTATTCTGATGATTTTCTGTTTATCAATGCTTTCTTTGGTAGTAGCACCTTCTCAATAATTCTAAATGCAAATCATGTTTGACTGTATCTTGAACAGAATTAAAAGCTTAATCTATTTGTTACTAACAATAAAGTGAGTAGGATGACTGCAACGATATCGTACAGCAGTGCAGGGATAACCTCTGCAGCTGGAGTGATATCTCTTTTGGATGAACCTCAAATAGAGCTGAAGATATTTGCCCTGAACAAGCTCAACCTCATTGTCCATGAATTCTGGGCCGAGATCTCAGATGTTGTGGATAAAATGTTAGTTCACATTTTCTACTTGTGTTCCATAAATTATACATTTTTATTCTATATTATATAATGGGTATTCCTTTTCTTATTTGAAGTTTAGGGTTTGAATTAAAGTTATTGCGGCTAGCAAAAAGGTACTGAGTTAAAAATTCAAATCAAATGAAACAATGAAGCCGATTAATGTGATTTTTAAAAGAATTCTTTAGAATTGAATATTTCAATGCGAACTCTTCAGTGAAATTCTGTATGAAGATGAGTCATTTGAGGAGCAGGAACTATCAGCGCTGGTCGCATCTAAAGTATACTACCACCTTGGAGCATATGACGAAGCACTGCACTATGCGCTAGGCGCTGCCAGTTTACTGGACGTCAACCAGTCTTCTGAATATGTTGACACTGTTGTAGGTCAGTTCCTTTCACTGCTTATACATATATTTATATATTATATACTAGAAACCCGCTAGTCGAAAGCTTAGTACGAGGAAATTCAAAAAATCAGTTATGTTTTAATTTCTCTTCATCATCTAGCTCTGTTATACTGTAGAAATTTAGTTAGGGCAAGAGTTGATTTTTCTGTGAACAAATTCGTAACAAAGGTTTGTCTACAGGAATGTGTTGTCCATAGTCCCAGGAACCACAAAAAAAACCGTCCAGCTGAAACTTTTGGGCAAAAATTTTTATAGTCATTTTTCTCCAGGAACCCATACGCCCCACCCCTAATATTGGTTATTCGGCTCCCGAAGGTCTTGAGATCTCCATAGGGGGTGCAAAATGACCGCAATGGCCACATTATGGCAGGCGAATGATAGTTTCAGAACGATTGGGGCTTTAGTTTTCGAAATAAATGGAATTTTTCGAAATTTTTCGAAATTTTATTGAAATTTCGAAAAAAAAATATACCAAATTATTTTTAACGCTTATTTCAAATCTATTTAAAAACTCATCTACAAATAGCAAATACAGTTAATCTAAAATGTGTATTCTCAGTAAATACCATGACAATTATTAATACACAGTTAATATTAATCAAAATTCGCTTGTTCTTCAGGTTCATCATGTCTAATGTTTGTGCAGTTCACAAGCTGGCAAACAATTGAAGCCATATTTCCTACATGAACATCTGAAAGTCAAACAGGCCTGTTTCACATCGACAGAACAGTTACAACATATAAGGTTCAAAATAGACTCTGGAGCAATTATAGCTTTTGTTGCAACTGGTTCGTAAGTGCCACCAGGAGCCAATTTCCAGCCGTAGTCAAGGGGATTCAGACTGTCAGCGTTAAGCATGACCCAGTTATGGTACTGTAAGTAAGCTCTAAGGATGTGCTCCGTTGCTGAAGCTATTGTTGGCTTCAGCAACGGAGCACATCCTTAGGAATCTCAAAGCAGAAAGAGTCTTTTTCTTGTCACCATAAATGTACTGCAAGAAACAGAGGCCTGCCTCAATAATCTTTTCTTTTGATTCTCTCACCGAAAGTAATGTTGCCAACTGACCTTGCTCATCAAAGGTGAGAGCTTTCTTTAGCACTTTAACCTTGCTAAAACCAAACAGTCCACTGACGCTATCACAACCTGGATTTCTTTACAGCAATATTAGCACAGAACGCTTTTACTCTCATCTTGTGCTCGTGATCTTTAGTAGAAGGCTCATATCCATCAAAAATCACAGTAACTTCCCGATTTTTAGGGATAAGCTTCAAGTACTCCATTGCTACCTCACCATAATTGTCACACCCTTTAAATGAGCTTAGTTGGTGAATTAGCCAACCTCCATCAATGACTAGTGGGATCGTGAAGCTGCAAGATTTAAATGTAGATTGGTTTATGTTTTTGAGGTAGCTACCAAGAGCAGCCTTATTAGATTTCCTCATCATCTAATATTGATCAAATAAGCTCATCGGCACCACAGTTAACTCGTATGTTAGGCATTCCTCTATTGAAGTCTCTCTATCAGCAACCAAGACTAGACGGTTAAAACACTTCAACGGATCGACTGCAACGCTTTTATTATTCACTTTAACCTGCTTTCTTAGTTGTGTCAAGTTCTTTGCTTTACCTTTGATACTTATCTTATCGATGAATATCAACCCATCTAGCTCACGTTGAAGGACAGCCCCAACGGCCAAACATTCCTCGGGATTCACCTCATCGTTCCCAGACTGTGATATAAGACCAGTCGAAAAAGATATTAGCTTCGGATTCTGTAAAGTCGACAGTAACTTTAAACCAATTTAATAATTTTCCAAATACATCACAGTTTTTCTTGATTGATGACTTGGTAAGATCTGAGTGGATGGCAGCTTTAGTTGGTACTACTCGCTTCGATGAATTAGCTAATGAATCTCCAAAAGACTGATTTATTAAAGCCATCTGATTCAGGGTGGCCACCCATAACTTGTGAGCGGACTCACAATTACACATCCTTCCACTTGTTAATCCACCACTAGATTTAGCTGCCCTCATAAGACTCTGCTCTATATGGAGAGGTCAGTCCACACCCCGGCCCACTCGTGGTCGTTGTAACAAACCGTGTGAAGCCCAGTTACTTTGAAGGTCTTTAAAAGCGCCCCATACTTGACTTCAAAAATAGCATCCTGCTCCAAATACAGTTTTAAAGGTTTTGCATACTGTCCCCTCCCAGCTGCTGCGAAGTAGGGCAGCATCAAAGCTACTGCTGATAAATGCATATTGTAGTCGTGCAACCTCTCTGCTCTTATGAAGTCCTTTACTAGTGTTATCATATTGTGGTAAGTAACCCATAGAGCTGCTGTTCTACTGTTGGAAAACAGGTTCTTTAGAATCAGAGTTATTTTCTCTGATAGATCCTGAATAGATTTAGTCTTAAAGTTAACACCTAGATGTTCGTTCACACATTTGTTGATGTAACCTTCCAAGTCTACTAGTTCATCGTCGTAAACTTCTTCCTCTATAGTGAAACAACAAAGAGCGGCGTCGATCAGAAAGTGGGCTCTCAACGCTTTATATTATTATAGTAAGATCCTCCATCCGATATATGCGTGACGTCTCCAGGATACACGAGTTTGATGAGCTCCTCTAAACCCGAGTCTGCCATTATATAGCCTATGCAGCCAAGAAAACTCTTGACAGTGTGGAAGCCCCTAACCCTGACCACAATAGGCATCCCAGTTTCCAGTACTATTCGGGTGGCCTTAATCCACAATGGCAAATCGAATGTGATTATCATCGGCTGTTGTTTGTTAGTTAACCTTGATATTTGTTAATTGAAGTTATTTCCCGAGTAAGATTTGAAATAAGCGTTAAAAATAATTTGATGTATTTTTTTTCGAAATTTCAATAAAATTGAGAAAAATTCCGAAAAATTCCATTTATTTCGAAAAATAAAGCCCCAATCGTTCTGAAACTACCGTTCGCCTGCCATAATGTGGCCATTGCGGTCATTTTGCACCCCCCATGGAGATCTCAAGACCTTCGGGAGACGAATAGCCAATATTAGGGGTGGGGCGTATGGGTTCCTGGAGAAAAATGACTATACAAATTTTTGCCCAAAAGTTTCAGCTGGACGGTTTTTTTTGGTGGTTCCTGGGACTATGGACAACATATTCCTGTAGACAAACCTTTGTTACGAATTTGTTCACAGATTGACCCATAAACAGCAATTCTTGCCCTAACTAATTATGGATTTTTCGTCAAGTTTAAAATATAAATTATAGATATATTCTTGATAGTATTGCCTGAATAAATAGTATCTGGAGAGAAGATTTGTAGGATACAATACTTGAGTAGGAACAATGTGCCTCGTGACGTGTAAAACTGTAGGTACTTCGCACGACAATAGCTGGATAATGCAACATTGTTCACACACGTTTCGTGTACCTTCTTAGCTTATCAATTACAGTGAATAGGATATTGACTTTGAGTAGGGAATGTTAGGACATGATTGGATCTGGTGATATAAAGTAAGAATAGCTCATTGCATGTAATCCTCAACAAGCTAGTATATTTTTACAGGAAAAATTGTTCATCCTTTTATTTTGTGCTCAATAGGCTTGGCCTGGGCGAAACATACTTATTCATTTCTATAGCTCATTTTATATACCTCATATTCAGATGACGCTGTTATCAATCTACCTTTTCGTTTGTATTGGTTCGTGATCAAAGGGACAGTTTCAATTTTCCGTATCATTACAACCTGTTCCTGACCATACATTTTTCTTGTACGAATTTAAAGCTTTTTTCGATTATGAGTGTTGTGCCTCATAATATGGTAAACACTGAGTAAAAATTTAAAATCAGTTATGTTATAGTTTTTTGTCATCATCTATCTATCTATGATCTAGCTCCGTTATATAAATTGTATGGATTTTTATTTGCTGATAACGATAAAAGTTTTATTTAAGTATTCCCTAATCGATATTTTTACCGCATCAAAAAACATCAATCACAACCAAAGTTATGGATAGTCATAGCGTAAATTGTAATGTGAGCTAGTTATGACGTATCATAGAGCAATGAGCATGGCAACACGCGTTGCTAATCTGTCTTTGCTCGCGCACGTGCAATCTCTTGATGTTGCTAAGCAATATCGCAGGTAACCTTCAATGAAATTACACCATTATTCTAACGTTTATTTTACCTCACTTCCGACGTTAATTATAGAAAATCTAATGCCTTAATCAATGAAATTGGCCACACCAGAGGGTAGGATTTTGGTCAATTTTCAGTGTCCCCGTTGCCGGGGGGATTTCGTCAAATTTCAAATATAATAATAATATAGATATATATTAACTTAGCTATTGTCTATCAATTGGAAGGTGATGGTTGGAGTAGGGATAATTATAATTTGTTTAATTTTAATCGAAATATGCACTAGATATTCAATGAAATGAAATGGCATTATTCCATCATTGAAACCCCCTTTTCTTTCTCAAACCTCAGCAACCCAAATAATGGTAGTCAACCAAACATTTTTCTATGAAAATTATTTGGAATGTTTCGAACATTCCACATAAGCTCTGCTCGGTTTATAACTACAAAATAATCACACCTTTCAGCTCGTGCGATAGATCAGTACATTACACAGAGGATAAAGTTGTGTGATGATGGTAACGATATCACCATCGACTCAAGATTAGAGCTCATTGTTGAGAAAATGTTTCAGAGATGTTTTGATGACGGCAAATACAAACAGGTAACATTTGTAGATTATATATAATTTCAAGACTCTGATATTCCCGAATTTGGAAATGCTATTAATTCTGATTAAATTCTGACCCGCTCATTCAGTTCCTCATTCCAATTATCTTATAAATTAACTTGGTCCTATGGAAATTTACATCACAGTTAATTGTTTCCAATCTAATCCTCTACCATAAACCAACATAAAATTTCAACTGTAAAAACACAACTGTAAACATACAACAAACTGTACAAAAATACAACAAAAACACAACAAGTAAAATGCTAATATCAGGCGGTGGGGATAGCACTTGAAACAAGACGTTACGATATGTTGGAGTCAGCAATAATGAAGAGTGACGATATACCAAGTCTGCTGAGTTACGCACTGGGCATTGCTATGACACTGTTGCAGAAACGAACTGTCAGAAATACGGTCAGTTCCTCGTCTGTGTAGATGAGTTCTGAATATTATAATTAATTAATTATAATTAATTTGTCTTTTAACTGCGTACACACTTTGTCAGGTTCCTTTTATAGTTTTGATCTTTATATGGTCATAATATAACTAAAATAACGGAAATATTATGTACATTAAGCCGTGACTAAATTGAATTCAACTACGATTGTATTATCAGTAAATAAACGGAGAAAGTTATTGCCACTATCAGCACTTCACAAGTATATAAAACTAACACAATAATTAAGCTAATTATCAATAAATAAGCTAATTAAGGAATACAAATTTTAAGGAATACTAAAGATAATACTGAAACAGGTATTACAAGTGTTAGTACGTCTCTACACCAACCTATCTGAACCAGACTACACCAACATGTGCCAGTGTTATATCTACCTCAATGAACCTCAAACTGTAGTCAACATCCTCAACAAGCTCGTCAGTGGCTCTGAGGTTTGTGTTTTAGTTTTTATGTGTTAGTTTTTCTTTGTGCTTGTCTTGGAATCTCGGGTATTTCGCTGTGAAAATAAAATAATTTGAAATTAGTTTATATTTGAATTCGACTAACTTTAAGTAAAACAACATTTTTTTACATGAGAACTCCTCAGGACGAGTTACTGATGGTATTCCAAATATGTTTTGATGTGTACGAGTCAGCGACTCAGCACTTTATTGATGAAGTGATGGAGGGGCTGGGGATCAAACAGAAGAAGGAAGAGGGAACAGCCATGGAAGTAGAGAGCTCCGGTTAGTTTAGTTTTTAAAATATTAGTACATTTACTTATGTCTTTTACTATTTGTATTTCATGATTGCTAATCCAGGGTAGCCCAGGTGGCACTGGGATGACCCTAAAATTCAACCGTTGGTACTAATATTTGAGCTTTCTAATTGCGATTGAGTTATCTCACTTTTAAAAATACAATAAATATCTAGCTCCTCTTAACTCACTACATAATGGACAGGAGAATTGGGAAGAAAAAACAAATTCTCGGTACATGGTTGCCTCTACTTTGAAAGGGACATAATATCATAATTTGTGATAATTACGATTAATGGTGCCAGCTGGCTGTGTTTTACTTGTGGGTTGTCGGAAAAAGCCACTTTACAATATTAATTCCTCAAATTTTTATTGTAGATTTTAATGTGGCCAAGCAAAAACGCAAGAAACAGCTCCAAATGCCAAAGAACTGGCTATATGCTTGCTTCTCTCGCCGTGCTAGCCCTGGGAAGCCGAAAACAGAAAATTTGTATCTAGGAGGAAATTTTAAATGTGGGCCCCGGCCCTACACCGCCGACTGCCGACCATGTCATCTTTCTTCAATTTTGCAATTTGGCAAGTCCCCATAGGGTAGAATGTAAATGCAACTGAAGCTACTTATTCACTGGTATACATGAAAGTAGCTGACTAAAAATGTAAATGCTACGACCCGAGGGCAAAGCTCGCCGAAGGCGGAGCTTTATTTAGGGCTAGATGTCCCTCTGAATGCCCTTTTTTAGGTCAAAATGTATGCCCCTCCAAGATATTTTTCTCTGTTGGCCAATATGGTGTAAATCAGTGGCGTAACGTTGCCTGTTGGCACCCCCGCAATAAATGCGCCCTCCTGTTGGCGCCCCCTCCCCTTTTGGCGCCAACAGGAGGGCGAATTGGACAAATTAGGTGATTTTAGAGGATACACCGGTAAAATCTCTAAAAAAGTGTGTTTCTAGATCAAAACGTGCAGTCAGCCACTGGTGTGAACCTTAATCAAACTTTACTTTTCAGAGCCAGTGAAGCCGTCCGAGGAACCAGTTAAAACTGTAGCACAAGACTCAGCGATAGATAAGAAGCGAGCTCAAGTTGGGTCTATTCTTAGTGGTGAAATACCAATCACATTGAAATCCCAGTTTTTGATCAGGAAGAATTCGAGCGATATGCTGGTGCTGAAGAATTGCAAGGTATGTTGTACTGATTTATTGGTATGTTGTACTGATTTATTGGTATGTTGTACTGGTAGTTTTGAAGTAAAAATATTGACTATATCGCTTATGTGAGCTCATCACGAATTGAAAATTGGAAATTGCACGTATCCAAGACGTCAGAAATCAGACCACCATTAATCAGTCTTATCAATTTCGACCAATTTCGTGTTACTGTAATTTATCTTGTTCATGTTCTGAACGTGTCGCTCCTACGATGGTCATATGACTTCTTAGTTGCTTGCCACAGGGTCGTTTGAAATAACATCATAAAACATGGGACAAACGCGCTAAAATTACTAACTACTAGCAAAAGTTACGTTATTTTCTATGAAAATTTCATGGTAAGCATAGCCAATTGCGCGGCGCGATCGATATATCACGCGCGGATTCTTTTATTTATATTCGAATACGTCGATAAGTTCGCGAGTTTTCTGAGCCCTTATGAGCAAAAGAACAGTCCAATATACTGAATACTCACGGTTGAAAACCATGACAAAGCTCCAACTTTCTTATTACATTGAATAGCTTTATCCTTCCTATAAAATCCACTTGTAAGACGTTTTTCTTTCAGGATGCATCCAGGAACGCGGTATGTCACACTGCTACTGTGATAGCCAACTCACTGATGCACGCTGGGACAACATGTGATGCATTCCTGAGGTGGGTGTGGCAGTTTTGTTACACAATCTTATTATTTGAGATTTTAGGGTAGTGTTAAATTGATTGGTTTATCGTTATAAAAAATAAAGTTTGGTCTTCATTTCAGAGATAACCTCGACTGGCTAGCAAAGGCTACAAACTGGGCCAAGTTCACAGCTACTGCCAGTATTGGAGTTATTCATCACGGTCACGAAACTAATGCCCTCAAACTCATGTCCTCTTATCTACCTAAGGTATGTTTTGTTACTTAGTAACCAAATACTTTGCATTCCTTGTGATCGTTTTGGAAATATCTCGATTTAGTGACCCTAACATTGTGTTAATAATTGAATTTGTAAAAGTATGGTAGAAAATCCTGCTTACAAACTCTAAAATATAAGAAGAGCATCTATCATTAAAAGAAAATTACCCTACTCCTTTACTCGAAAAGAAACATAAATTCACCATAGCATAGTTGATAAATTAAAAGGAAACATTGTCCCAGGAGCCAGCAAGCGGTAGTCCGTACCAGGAGGGGGGTGCCCTGTATGCGCTGGGTATGATCCACGCTAACCACGGTGCTGCTATCATACCTTACCTCTCTGAACAGCTCCAAACTGCTACCAACGAGGTTTGTTTACTTGTTTGATAAGTTATACAATTACACATAAGCGCTGACCTTTAACCGGCGATAATTCCGGCTAGTAACAATATTTTTCCGTGGGACCAAAAGCAGCTGATAGATATCAGTCCCCTCTATAAAACTTCAATTTCGAGAGAATTTTGATGAAGACCCGGCCCCCTTAAAAATTTAATTATCTGTGGTTTATATTACTGCTCAACTTGAATTTCTGATTTACATTTATATGATATTAAAACTTTGGAATTCTTTTAAATACAAAGAAAATGTCCTCTCTCAGACGGTAAAACACGGAGGATGTCTAGGATTGGGGCTAGCAGCGATGACATCAAAGAGTAGTGATATATACGAGCAGCTCAAGAACAATCTGTATCAGGACGATGCTATCATCGGGGAGGCGGCTGGCATCTCTATGGGTCTTGTTATGATGGGTGAGTTGGCTTGTCAGGCTCCCAAAGTGTTCAAAACGTTCTTAAAGTTCCTGACTAGATTCCAAAGTTCCTGAAAAATTCCCAAATTGTCGATAAGTTGCCAAATTAATTGAGTTTAACAAGTTCCCAAAGATTGCGACTAGATCCTAAAGTTCCTGACAAATACCCAAAGTTTTAGAAATGTTCCCAAGATGTTCTGAAAGTTTTTATAAACTGTTTTTTCAGGATCGTTAGATGAGGATGCTCTGTCTGACATGGTCCAATATGCTCACGAGACTCAACACGAGAAAATTCTCCGTGGTTTGTCTCTCGGTAAGTGGTGATTTTAGATTTTTTAGAGCTAATGTTAATTTAATTAGGTGATTAGTGATTAATCATATCTCAATAAGATAATAACTAATTAAACGCATAGTTATCTCATTCTTCACTCCTGTAGGAATTGCAATGATCTGTTACGGGCAGCTGGAAGCAGCAGACCCCACTATTCAGTCCCTTACTGACGACAAGGACCCCGTGCTAAGAATGTGTGGAATGTACAGCGTGGGAATGGCATACGCTGGAACTGGAAATAACAAAGCCATCAGACGTCTTCTTCACGTTGCGGTAATTACACGATTAGTAGATTTATAAAATATGATAGTTTAATCAGTTAGTTGATAAGTTTTTGGGTCGGAAAACAGCTGCACAGGTAAGTCGAATTTATTCAAGCTGAGTTGCGGTTGTGTTCCTGTAAGGTGGTGTAGGACGTAAATAGCATGGAGGACACCCCCATATTCCATAAACATACTAAAATTAACTATAATTAGTAATCCACTTATATCTAGGTATCTGATGTAAATGATGACGTACGAAGAGCAGCTGTTATCTCAATCGGCTTCCTCCTCTTCAATGCTCCTGAACAGTGCCCCAATGTAGTGTCCCTTCTTTCTGAGTCCTACAACTCACATGTGCGGTACGGTGCTGCTCTCGCACTCGGAATTAGTTGTGCAGGTTAGTCAATAGTAATTAGTAGGGCACATTGCATACACATTACACACTGTATATTGTACAGCGTAGTTCCTATAACATGAAGTTTAAATATATAATCTCACTTTCTTTGGCCAACATTTTCACTTAATTTACCCTCAAGGTCCAAATTTCACTCTATCTACCCTCAAGTAATCAAGTTTAATTTTATCTGCAAACAAATTTTACTTTCTCTCTCACCAGGATCTGGAATGAAAGAAGCGCTCAGTATCCTAGAACCCATGATAAACGACCCTGTGAACTATGTACGTCAAGGTGCACTGCTGGCTTCCGCCATGGTCCTGGTCCAACAAAACGACCACATGTGCCCCAAACTGAAGACCTTCAAAGACCTGTTCACTAAGACTATGAGTGATAAGCACGAGGATGTTATGGTCAAGTTTGGAGCTATTCTTGCTCAGGTAAAATTTATTTTTGTTGTACCCTTGAGTCGTTAGTTCTGTTAGTTTGAGGGAATTAAAAAGAGGGATGATTGTTTTTAAGCATAAATAAATTAAGTATAAAATACACCCGAACTAACTCATCTACTTACTACTTAGAACAAACTGACACTTCCCTCCCAGGGTATAATTAACGCAGGAGGAAGGAACTGCACTATATCAATGAGGACCCAATACGGTCACACTAACGTGCCTTCCGTTGTTGGTCTTCTAGGTAAGCAGCTACTTCACTCTCAGCTTTTAGATTATTATTATACAAACATGCTAGTTTGAACTTGTTAGTTTAAACATGCTAGTTTGAACATGCTAGTTTGAACATGCTAGTTTGAAAATGAAAGTTTTAACTTGCTAGTTTAAACTTATCAGGGAGTTCTAATATTTCCCGTTATTTCAACCCAGACATTTCACACTCCTCTGTTTCAGTGTTTACACACACTTGGTTCTGGTTCCCTCTGGCTCACTTCCTCTGTCTGGCATTCCAGCCTACATACCTTATCGGTCTTAATAAGGATCTCAAGGTATATTGGGAATAAACACCAGCAACATTGTCAATTTTTAGACTTCATCTTACTATTTCCGTCATATTACACTCTTTGCGATCATTGAAATTTCTTGAATCCTAACCTCATTGTCACGCAATTCAGATGCCGGTAATGAAATTTAAGTCGTGTGCTAAACCCTCTGCGTACGCCTACCCACCTCTTCTAGAGCCACCAAAGGAGAAGGAGAAGGAGAAGGTTGGACAATTCACATTTCACAGTTGTGTTTTTACTGTACGAACGGGATTATTTGTTATTAGATTGAATATTTATTATGTATTTACATGGAGGCTCTGACTTTAGCTCTAAGAAATTTGATCGTCAGAAAATGTTGTCTAGTCATAGTACATTACATCTTCCGTACATTGAAAGGAGTAGGGATTAAACATTTTTATGTGAATCCAATGCTATGTATGAGATAAATTGAATGCACCTTTAAAAAAATCAAACAACAAAACCCTCTTCGCTCAGGTATCAACCGCTATCCTATCCACCACTGCCAAGAAAGCAGCTAAGAGTAAGACCGCTGCTGCCACTCCAATGGAAGTAGACCCTCCAGCTACCGCTGCTGCTGAGAAGAAGGGTTAGTTACATTGTTATCAGACTTTATTTCTGGGACGTATATGTGTGTCGACTGTGTTCGGTTTTTTAATACTGGATAATTAGTTTTAAATTCATCCAATGATACAAATATATTACATTGTTGAATACACATATAGCTTCATTTTGAGTACAATGTAAGAGGGACGTTTTGATTTAATCTTGATGCATGGTATCAATCCCCAGTTATTATAGTGACAACGATCTGTTTCATTTGCAGAATGTGACTTTTTAATACTGCATTTCTTTTGAAATTCTAACTTTTATCTAACCTTTAGAAGAGAAAAAGGTCGAAGAGAAAAAGGACGAGAAGAAAGAAGAAAAGAAAGAGAAAGGTGATGATGAGAAGAAGGAAAAGAAGGAGGAAGCAAAGTGTGAACTGATTGCTAATCCTGCCAGAGTACTTGTTGGTAAGAAACCTTGTAATTTAACCGCGTGATATTAAACTTTTAAATCTTTATCGATACTATTCAAGTAGCAACAAATAATTTCACCCTGTATTTTACGTCATAAATCTGCGTTTTTAAGAACTCCTGTATTTGTACCTGAATAAGCTTCTTTCATGAAATGTCCTTGTGTTTCAGAACAACGTAACGTGATGGATATAGAAAGCAGTAGTCGGTACAGCAGTGTTTGGAATAGGAACGGTCTGGGCGGGTTTATAGTGTTGAGAGACACTAAAGGTGGGGTCGAGGAGGACATCATTGAAACTCTTCAACCTACCGGTTAGTTCTTAATTTAACCTACCGGTTAGTTCTTAGTTTAACCTACTGGTTAGTTCTAAAAATCTCTCCTGTGTTACCAAATAACACCAGCGGTGGATATTTAATGTCGGATTCGTGAATTACATATTAGAATACCAACATAAACATTAAAGAGTGTTAATTTCAGCAGCTGCAGAGGAAACTACAACGGAGGAGAAGGAGCCCAGCCCTCCAGAACCTTTTGAGTACACCGAGTAAAGGAGAGGGTTTTTGAGGGTGGACTATTATAGACTATAATATATAGACTATATTATAGACTCTATAGACTATATGCACATTTATAGATTTGAGAACTATAATATATTTGTAAATGTATTGGACACTATAAATTTTTACTTTATAGTTCGTCCAAGTGTTTGATATTTCCACGATGATGAAGTATATATATATTTCCTCTTGCAGAAGTAAATGTATTGGACACTATAAATTTTTACTTTATAGTTCGTCCAAGTGTTTGATATTTCCACGATGATGAAGTATATATATATTTCCTCTTGCAGAAGAATGAGGTTTTTGTTAACTCGTATGACATTTCGGGAATACCCCCCAGAGAACTGAGCACAGTTTCCAAAAAGTGGAGTTATAAAGTTTAGCGTTAAATTAAACGCTCGAATGCTGTCACGTGGTGCAGAATTGAGCTCGTCTGATTCGGGACCCTGTCATAACCATATGTTCCTTTGGTACCTCAATTGATATTCAATTAGAAGCAGCTTTTAAATAAGAAACGGTTGTTATTAACAACACGGCATGTCATACCAGGCGGCAGTTTCTATGACAAACGGGAGTAACAATTATTGTAGTGGTTTGAGAGAATACTTGTGATGCGGTTGTGCTGGCACGATGTCTAGAAAGTTAATTGTAATTTGTCATCAATTGAAAATTCTCGAAATTCTTTTCCCTCCCAAACATGCTGTGTTTCTCTTTTTCAAGAACAACTTATTTTTTCTCTCAAGAATGTTCCAGATTAAAGCAGTTACGCACTACTGCTACTGCTACCCGTACTGGTAGTGTACCACATTTCAGCTCGATATTATTTGGTATGCGTTAAGTGCTAGTAACAATTTAGATTAAAATAATGCTTTCTGATTAATTTTTGTTGTGATTTATATCAATTATTGTGATTGTATACAGGTGCAGACTGCAGACAGGGAAAATTAAAACTCACATTGAAAAAAAAGAAATTAAAATATAAATTGAACAATATTCAAACTTTTAAAAAGTAATCAACTAGATAAACGTTCATTAAATATCGAATGAACTCCGTAATAAAAAATCAATATCAAAGTTTGAGTAAAGAACACTATCAACAAACTCACTGTAACACAGATTTAAAATTAATAATACTCGACTACTCTTTTTTTTTTCGATTTTACAAATTATGCTGTTAAAATAATTGAAAATAAAGAATTGTTATGAATATGAAAGTATCGTAATTCTTATTATCGACAATAAAACATTCAAGCAGGTAATCATCATGATCAGAGTCAACGCTTCACTTTGCCATTGAATTCCAACTTATGAATAATGATCGAATAAAGTCCATTATACAAAATCACTATCAAAGTTTGCGTATCAAGAACACTTAACACTATCGATAAATTCGTTGTAACAAATAATTAAACTCAATATTACCAAACAACTCTTTTTTTTCCCGATTTTACAAATTATACTGTTAAAATAATATTGATCCATTAGAAATAATCAGTATAACACAAAATCAAACTTAAATCCTGGAATAATTATACTCGACAACTCTTTTTTTTTCGATTTTACGTATCATTTAAAAAATTTACTTATAAAAAGATAAAATGTACAAGTAGAACACAAAATAAAACTTAAATTGAACAAATACTCAACACTTTTTTTCGATATCATAAAAAATATAAAAACATTTGTGTGTTTTTCAGTAATACTAATCCTAACTGTTAATAATCAAACATTTAAGCAGGTATTAAAATAATCGTGGTTACTGATTACATTCCATCATATCTCAATACCTAGCTGAAGTTGGCATACAGGTCATCCTGCTGCAAGGTTTTTCCTCTTTCTGGGAGAGTAGGTTTGGCAACTTCACTGCAACTTCCACCTTTCTTTTGACTGGTCGAGGGCTCAGCTTGGTACGCCATCTGTATATCTTCCGTCCTGATCCTTGCTCGTCTTTCCTTCCAGATGTAGAGAATGATTCCTACCACCATGGCGAGGATCAGTATGCAAAGCACTAAGCTCACCACTGACAGAGCGTCAACAGCAGACTTTTGGCAGATGGTTCTATCTTTGGACGGCGAAGTTCCTTCTGGACAGATGCTGCAAGTAGCCCCGTTTCCAACGTGACTTTCTGGACACTCAGTACAGGCATGCTTCTCCCAGAAGAATCCTTTAGGACAAGAAGAGCACTCAGAAGATTGGGACTCAGATACTGTGAAGACAGGGCATTTTGAGCAGACGGAGAAGAAATGTCCACTGAAGTGGTTTGCAGGACAGGCTTCACACCGGCTACTGTCCTCCCTCCAGTATGTTCCAGCTAAGCAGTTACACACTCCACTACTGCTACCCGGAGTAGTGCATTTCACACAGCTTTCTCCATCCCAAGATAGTCCACTTGGACAGTTACACTCTTCAGAGAGAGGGAGGGAGGTGGCCTCGTGAGGACATCTTATGCAAGTACCTTGTTGTTTGTCTTTGAAGAAGTTTGCAGGACAGACTTTACAGGATCCATCCCCGTTGGAGTTCCATTCCCATCCATACCCCTTCTCACAGCTGCAAACTTGTCCATTGTTGATTGGCACTGATCCAGCAAGACAACTTACACAGTCACTCGGGGCAGTTCCTCCTTCCTTGCTGACTGTACCACTTGAACATGGCACACAGCTGCTGAGGTCAGAGTAGAGGTATGTGCCAGCGAAACAGGCGCAGTGTGCTGATCCTTTTACAGAAGTAGAATTTCCCGGGCATTCCAGACATTCATCTCCGTCAGGACTCATGTAGGTGTCATCATTGCAGGAGCAGTAGGTGGATCCGGCGAGGGAAGTGAAGTTAGTAGGATAGGATCCTTTTACAGAAGTAGAATTCCCCGGGCATTCCAGACATTCATCTCCGTCAGGACTCAGGTAGGTGTCATCATTGCAGGAGCAGTAGGTAGATCCGGCGAGTGAAGTGGAGTTGGTAGGACATGAGAGACAGGTAGACGCTTCACTAGGTTCGTGGGAGTAGGTATTGGCTGAGCATTCATAGCACGTTCTGGAATCTGGCCGTCTTTGTCCAGGAGGGCAGACCAGTTTGTAGTTGTATTTTGGGAGAGCACACCATAGCCAGACGTCGTTGTCGTGAGTTTCTCCTGTAGTGTCTCTTCCGTAGACACACAGAGGAAACACGTCTTCACTTTCCAAACAGTTCATGTTTTTGAACTTGATTTCTAAGCTTTCTTGAAATTGGTATTTCCGACCAATGCTCCAGCTCATGACTTTGTCGTACCCCATGATACGACAAATCAACTCCGCAGTCGTTTCATCAAACTTGTTGCCACTTACCGTCCCTCCGTTGTACATGAGAAGACCGTGTCCTTTTTGAGTGTCCTGTTTGTCTTTGTCCACGAGGTAGAATGAGGTGGAGTCTCCAAGCTGCGTCCGAGCGTTGCATTTAATCCAGAGAGAGTAGGCATAGTACATATTATTTGCTGCCTGGTAACGACACTGTGGAACTACACTACCTGTACATTCAAGTTGAGAATACCTGAGAGGGTAGTTCTGCTGCCATTCTTTAGCGGCATTAGTATTACTGTAGTAGGACTGGTAGCCTAACATCCGGCACATCCAGGTCAGGGTGGTAGAGCGAGATCCTATGTTCCTGTAGTCAACTGTTCCTCCGTTAAGATCAAGAAGTCCGTAGCCAACATTATTTGGTATCATGTTGTAGGAGTCGGTGTTAACGAGATGGTAGTTGTAGATTGCTGCTGCTCCTGAAATAATCAATTGTTAAGGTACTTTTAATGATAGAATGATGCATCTAAACTGTTTTAATTTCCTTCGTATATAAATTTACAGTAATGACTATCAACAGGTGTTTTCAGTACTAACAGGTCGTTATGCAAACAAGAAGTGTGCTTCCGGCTTCGTAAAAGAGAGGACAAACTTGGTTTCTAAATAATATAATCTCAATTCATGTCTTGCAATCTTTAGATTGTGAATTTAATGTATTTGTACTCTACAAGTACAAGTATAACTAAATATTAATAATTTATAAATGTCCCAATAAAAAAGCAACCACGTGATCAGTGTTAACGACTCAAGAAAACGTAATTTATCGTTTACACTTTACAGGGTATGACCTCACGAGTCCGTGAAAAATGTTTCTAGTTTATTTGAGTACTGTCACCAAGATGCAGTTAGGTATAACCAGTTAGACCTAACCAGTAAGGCCTAACCAGTTTGGCCTAACGCAGAGTTAGGCCTAAATTAGGCGTTAGGCCTAACTGCATCTTGGTGACAGTTACTGTTAGGCCTAACGCCTAATTTAGGCCTAATTTAGGCCTAATTTAGGCCTAACTCTGCGTTAGGTCTAACTGGTTAGACCTAACTGCATCTTGGTGACAGTTAGGATGTGGCAGCCGCATAAAGTTTTTTACAATCTGTCTCATATCTTTCTATTTTGTAAGCTGATGGCTTGTTATTAATAGTAATACCTAAGTGAGGATCACGTAATGCTGAGCTTTGATGTGTTTAAAATGCAGATGAGGTGGGCAATGAGCAATTTATTGCGGGTGTCATGTGATGAATGGGTACCCGACAACCCGATCGGATACTAGCTGAGCTACTGACTAGTAATACTGACTAATAATAATCATGTCCATAAATCTTTATTAACTGAGGAAGAAGTGATGGATACAGACGGCAAGGGGTAGGTTTAGTCCTCTCGAAGAAGACTATAAATTCATTGATTTCATACACTCCAATATCATAACGTATTCTTGCAGCGAGGTTGCACTGTCCACATATCAGCATTTCGATTGTGATAGTTTATGCCCAAACAGAGGATGCAGCAGTCGGGGTAAAGTATGACTTTTATTTATCAGCAGCTATCTGGGGCATTTGATGAACTACCAGCTCATGACGTAAAGTTTTTACTCGGAGTCCGGAGATCTAAATGCTCGCATTGGCCAAGATAACTCAGTTTGGTCCGGTGTGATTGGTAAGTATTTCCTTCAAGTTTCATCAAATGACAACGGCATTCGACTATAATTATTTCTGTACGATACATCAGCTGACAATCGGTGGGACCCTTTTCCAGATTCGTGATATTCATGAAGGTAGTTGGAAGTCTCCAGATGGCCGCACAGTAAATCAGATTGCATGACCATGTCTGTATTTCTACCAAGTGGTGTCA